AAACCCTAAACCCTAAACCCTAAACCCTAAACCCTAAACCCTAAACGTGTGCGAGGGTAGATATCCGGAACCCTGGGTGCCCTTCAAAGCATTGCAGGAGCGGCTTTTGTGGGTGCAGGGCCGATGTACAAGCTTGAGCTCTTTAGGTTTTGGGGTTTAGGGTTTCGGGTGTAGGGTTTCAGGGTTCAGGGTGCAGGGTTCAGGGTTTAGGGTTTAGGGCTTAGGGCTTAGGGCTTAGGGCTTAGGGTTTAGGGTTTAAAGAAGTTGCGTTGCTGTGCTTTCCGGATCTTCCTACACAACATGTATATGTATGTATGTATCAATGTATGCATATGTGTGTTGCATGCATATGTACATGTTCTCTGTATATGTATTTGTATGTGTATCTGTATCTGTACATGTATATGTTTGTGTGGGCGAGAGATACTCCTTGTTGCGCGGTGAATTAGGGCTCTCGGGCTGTAGGGTCGGGCGCAAGTGGTAGCTGGTAGCTTGCTTGTTGGCGAAGCCATAAACCCTGAACTTTGAACCCTACGGCGTGGCTGCTGAGTCCAGGGACGTGTCAAGGCGGAATGTGGGCTTTGAGGGCAGGGGTGTGCAAAATCTTTGTGAGCTAGGCTGCCCAGTAACCTAGGCTTAAAAAGGGTGCCCTTTTTTGCTTAAAGGGGGTTTATAAGGGAACCTAAGCCCCCCAAAAAGGGAATAAGGGTACTACTGGGCATCCTAGTGAGACATGCCGAAGATCTCTCCTTCGGTAGATGCATAAGCCAGGGCCAGCATGGGCACACCAAGCCGGTAAAGCATCATGGCGGCGGCTATCACCAAGATGCTCTGAATCCAGAAGCCTAAGGGGTCGCAGTTCCTAGCATAGCTTACTGGCTGCGTGGGAGGAAGATGATCACCCAACCAAGGCTGCTTGGCTTGTCTGTTGCTTTGGAGCAGGCTCAGGATAAGGTAATAAACCCTAAACCCTAAAACCCTAAACCCTAAACACTAAACCCTAAACCTTAGACCCCTACACCCAGGGCTTAGGGCTCTTTAGTGTAGGGAATCGGGTTTGGGTTTTGAGGGCCACTTGCTGCACTGCTCATTTTGCGATCTGCCTGAGCGTCTATCCGAAACCCTAAATCCTAAACCCTAAACCCTGAACCCTGAACCCTAAACCCTAAACCCTAAACCGGTGCACCTGCTAGATTGGCAGAAAAGGCTACGGGGCAAGCCTGTGGCAGCTGGACCAGTGCCCAGGGCTCAGGTTTCAGGTGTTCTTGGGGGGTCTGGGGATACCCTAAACCCTAAACCCTAAACCCTACACCCTAAACCCTAAACCCTAAACCCTAAACCCTAAACTCTAAACCCAAACCCTATACCCTAGCGTAAAGTTTAAGCCCTAACCCTAAACCCTAAACCCTAGGGTTTTGGGGGGGGGGGGGGGGGGGGGGGGAGGGGGGGGGGTTTGGACATCTGCAAGTTCAAGGGGCAACCTCAGATTCTCACTCCCTGAGTTCCGAAAAGGGTTTAGGGTTTAGGGTTTAGGGTTTAGGGTTTAGGGTTTGGGGTTTAGGGTTTAGGGATTCGACCCCCAAAGCTCCCACCGTCCCATACTGACTGCCATTTTGGAGGTTGGGTTTGTGTTTTGGGATTAGTGATTACGGGGTAGGGGCAGTGTTTTAGGCTTCAGGGCCAAATTTTGAGGCCCTGAACCTTCAATTTCTGAAAAGGCCCCAACAGTTGAAACAAACCCTGAACCCCCTGAACGCTATGTGCATAAACAGGCTTTAGGACTCTATGCCCAGTAAGGTACCCAAAAAGGGTTTGGAGTGTTGATGGCCTTAAGGTTTGGAGCCTCAATGGAAATACCCCTAAACCCTTACTAAACCCTGCACACTACACCCTACACCCTAAACCCTAAACCCTAAACCCTAAACCCTAAAACCCTAGACCCTAGACCCTAGACCCTAAACCCTAAACCCTAAACCCTAAACCCTAACCCTAAACCCTAAACCCTAAACCCTAAACCCTAAACCCTAAACCCTAAACCCTAAACCCTAAACCCTAAACCCTAAACCCTAAACCCTAACCTTGGAATCAACAGGGGTGCCCTTTTTGGTTTGAAGTGGCTTATAAAGGAACCTGAACCCTGAGACCAAAATGTGAATGAGGGCCTGCTCTAGGTCCGAGCCCTAAATCCAACCCAAAACCCCAGGACACTTATAATGCACATCTTAACCTTGCGCCATATGAGTGCGCAGATCAAGCCTAGACCCTCAAAGCACAACGCAGCCTGCAAGCCTGCAACCCTACACCCTAAACCCTAAACCCTAAACCCTAAACCCTAAACCCTAAACCCTAAACCCTAAACCCTGAACCCCAAACAACATCACCTTGAAAGCCTTAAACCCTTACCGTCCCGGTGCTGCGCTGCTGATAGGGCGGGGTACCTGGCAGCAGAGACCCGTAGTTGCTCAAGGTAGTGGTGGCCCTTGAACCTATGAAGGTTTAGGGTTTAGGGTTTAAGGGTTTAAGGGTTTAAGGGTTTAAGGGTTCAAGGGTTTAAGGGTTTAAGGGTTTAAGGGTTTGAGGGTTTGAGGGTTTAAGGGTTTGAGGGTTGAAGGGTTTAAGGGTTTAAGGGTTTAAGTGTTTAAGGTTGGGATGGTCCCACTTATACTAGCAGTCCTTAGTAGGGATTCTGGTACCCACCCCCCCCCCCCCAAAAAAAAAAAATAATCCCGATTAAGGACTGTTGGTACAAGAGGAACATCCCAAGTTTAAGGGTTTGAGATGATGAGATGGCTGACGCGTTCGATTGAGGGTTTAAGGGTTTAAGGTTTAGGGTTTAGGGTTTAGGGTTTAGGGCTTAAGGATTGGGTTTAGGGCTTTTGGGGTTTTGTGTTAAGGCTTTGGGATTGTGGGCTAATGCGCAAAATAATGCCTCGGAACCCCTTTGGGGCCGCCGGGATTTCTTCAGAGATACTAGGAAGGACGTCCAGAAGAGGCCCTTCATCTTGCTACCCTATCTAGAAGCCTATGTACATGTACAAAATATAAATATATATATATATATAATGTATATAAACATCGTACCAAAGTAAGCTGAAAAATAGACTGCCCCTGTATTCGAACCCCCAGACCCAGACTCTACACCCTAAACCCTAAACCCCCAAAACCTGAAACCCAAAACCCTAAACCCTTAAACCAGAAAGCCCCGCGGGCCTTGGATCTTCAGTCTGTAATTTCAGGTTTCAGGAGCTTTTTCCTGAGAATTAAGAGGGTACCCTTTTGGTCAAACCGGGCTTATAGCAGAACCTAAACCATAATGAATATAAAAGGCAATAAGGCCTACTCTGGGTCCAAGGGAGTCTTCTAAACCCTAAACCCTAAACCCTAAACTCTAAACCCTAAACCCTAAACCCTAAACCCTAAACCCTAAACCCTAAACTTCTAGCCGCTAAGAGGAGCACTGGATGAACTGCCGGAACTGCGTGAAGCTTCGCTGGACTCGCTTCGGAGGGTCCTTACCCGCGCTGTATCGCACAACGTTTAGGGTTTAGGGCTTAGGGCTTAGGGTTTAGGGTTTAGGGTTTAGGGATTAGGGTTTAGGGAATACAAAGGGCGCCCTTTTGGTTATAAGGGGGTTATAGAATAAAGAAGGGAAACCCTAAACCCTAAAAAAAGGGAATAAGGGCCTACTCTGGGTCCTAGAAGATGCACTAGAGCACAGAAACCGGCACAAGCGAAAACAGCTTGACAGGAAAAAGCATCACTGCCATCATCGCTTGCGGCAACTCACGCACTCATGAACATGGTGCCCCAGCAGTTCCAACACCTGCTATATTCTGCGAACACACCAAACACGACCTTCCAAGATCTGTCGGCCCGAGGCCCTAAAACCTAAATCGATAAGGGCTGATTAAGGTTAGTGCGGTATAAAATATATCAAGGTAACTTCGGGATCTTTAACGACGATGTTTAGCGGTTGCAATTCTGGCTTCGTTTAGTTTTCTATTTTGCGTGGGCGCTTTACCAAAAGGCTCCAATGTAGTTCCTTTTTGGGTTTGTTATAGGGGGTTCTAGTATACTACCCCGAAAGTTTGGGTAGTATGGCTTAGGGCTTGATGGATGTGGGTTTTTAAGCTTCAGGGAAGGTAGGCTACGCCCAAGTTTAGGGTGTGTTTCGGGCTTAGGGTTTAGGGCTTAGCTCATCCCAAACCGTAAACCCTATGTGGTCACTTCTCTAATCATGGCCCCTTTTGGAGTTACTCTTTAGAACCCCCAAAAAGGGAATAAGGGTACTACTGGGCATCCTAGATAGGGTACCCAAAAAGGGAATAGAATAAAAAGAACAGAACAAGCGCCCTCAACCTTTTACCCACGACCCCAAAACTCTAACCTAGGAGTGGCCCGTGTCTATTTAGGGTTTAGGGGTTTAGGGATTTAGGCCTGAACTCATAAAGCCCTGAAGCCCTACAACTCTAAAACCCGCAGTCCCGACTGTCATGCCGCGGCAGGAGGCTCTTTTGGCCGCAAGACCTCTTACGGTAGTTTCACGGTCCCTGAGCATGGGCCCTTAATTGGGGGGAACCCGTACATGCCCCTTAGATACCCTAAACAACCCAAGGGGCCCGTACTGGAGAAGCCTCTAAAGGATCTTAGGGTACTGTAGCTACATGGTCCCTTAGCAGGGGCCCTTAAAACGGAACCCCTTATATAGCCCTTACATACCCTAGACCAATGAAGGGCCCAGACGACAGAGGCGTCTAAAGGAATGAAAGGGACCATACGAGTCCCACAGAAAGACCAGGATTTCAGATGTAACCTGGCCATGGCTCAGGCCATGAGGTTGCATTTGGGGTTTGGGGTTAGGGTTTGAGGTTTAGGGTTTAGGGTTTAGGGTTCGGGGTTAGGGTTTAGGGTTTAGGGTTTAGGGTGGTTTTAGGAGCAGAGGTCCAGCTGGCAAACTAGCTGGTTGAGGTGAGGTTGAGCGTTCTGTGTTGCCCGAAGCCCTAAACCGTTGGCTTCGAGTCATCATCAGGACTTTCTGACGGCTCGTCCTCTGCTGCAGAGCTCACCTGCTCGCCGATTCTCGCTAGCTCGGAGGCTGCTGATGAAGGTGCATTCCTCTCGCTCTGCGACAAGCCTTGGGGTTGCAAAGGCTTTTGGGTTCAAGGCTGCAGGGCTGAGGATATAGGGTTCAGGGTTTAGGGCTCAGCATCTCATGTTCTAGCTTTTTCTAGTCAAGCAATTATCGAGAAAAAAACACCCGCCCAAAGAATCCCGTAACATTAGGAGAACACAATCTAAGCCTTAGCCTGGGGGGGGCGGGGTCGGGGGGGGGGGGCGGGGGGGGGGGGGGGGGGGGGGGGGGGGCGGCCCTGAACCCTAAACCCGGTACCCTAAACCCTAAGGGAACGGGTGGGGGGGGGGGGGGGGGGGTGCGGGGCTTGCCCACTAATTTTATGACCTTAACTGCGACCTTGCCCGCTACTGTTATAGGACCCTGCCTGCTCATTTTAGGACCTTGCCCGCAAAGTCATTCACATTTGTATTATACATGATAGAGTGGTTCAGGATGTAGGGTTTAGGGTTTAGGGTTTAGGGTTTAGGGTTTAGGGCTTAGGTTGGGTTTCGCCCGCATCTCCAAAATCAGACCAAAGACGCGAGAGGGCCAGCCACACCAGGGTTTTGCGGCCTCTGCCCGTGTGCCAGATCTTGGCCTGCTGTGCCTGCATGTATCCTTAGTGGTCTCAATGAGTTTTGGGGTTTAGGGTTTAGGGTTTAGGGTTTAGGGAGTCGAGTGTAGCATTCAGGGCTTAAGGGTTTCGGGCGTTGGGGGTTTGAGGTTTCGGGGGTTTAGGGGTTTGGGTTGGGATGATTCCCCCTTCTACTAAGAGTCCTCCATAGGGATGATGATCGGGCTACTATACCTAAACCCTAAACCCTAAACCCTAAACCCTAAACCCTCAACCCTAAACCCTAAACCCTAAACCCTATTCAGGACTGTTAGTATAAGGGGAACATCCCAAGTCTCATGAGTTTTGGGGCTAGGGTTTCGGAAGTGGGGTCGAGGGGTCTGCCCTTAAGCCTTAAGCCTTAACCCTTAACCCTGAACCCTGAACCCTAAACCCTAAACCCTAAACCCTAAACCCTAAACCCTAAACCCTAAAGGGTTTAATGTTAGGGTCACCTTTATAAACCGGGTGTCAATAGTGGCAACTTTTCCGGCCGGGATTTTTGCCCAAAAGTTTGTTTCATGAACAGTTTCCATTATGTTAGGCTGCCCCGAACCCTAAACCCCATTTTGAGGGGGGTCGTAATCAAAAAACGGGTGGTAATAGTGGAAACTTTTCTGGGAGAATTTCCCAAATGTGCTTCCGAGAGTACTCCTCTTTTCACTCGAGGCCGAGACCACACAGCTTCATTTTGCCGATCTCTTGAACCGGCTCCAGGCTCAGAAATCCTGATCTTCGTGGCTGACCGAAAAGCATCGATTTCTTCTTAAAATCCTTCTAAAAAACAGCTCCCGAACAAATCCGCCAAGGCTACCCCCCACGAGGCCTCGAAATCGTAATAATAAAGGGTGACATTAATAAAGTCCGGCGAACGGGGCGATGCCGGTCTGGGACTCTCTTCCATCAGCAAGCCTCTTTGGCTACTTACTGACAGCAATCCAGACCCAGCCCATCCCCCCCCCTTTACTATTACCACCCCGACCCCTTTCAAAGTTTGTTTGGACCCAGCGCCGGAACAAATCCGGGGGGGGGGGGGGGGGGGTTTATTAAAGCGACCTTAACATTAGGGTTTATAAACCCTAACCCTAAACTAAGGATTAGGATCCAGCAGATGCTGGCACAGGGTCCAGCATTTTGAGCGAGCCCGGAGCCGTGCAAAGCGGCGCCCGGGCACCCAAAACCCTAAAATCTAAACCCTAAACCCTAAACCCTAAACCCTAAACCCTAAACCCTAAACCCTAAACCCACAAATCGCAGAGAAAACGCCCCCGCTCCAGGGCTTAGGGTTTATAGGGTTTATAGGGTTTATAGGGTTTATAGGGTTTATAGGGTTTATAGGGTTTTTGGGTTTATAGGGTTTATAGGGTTGATAGGGCTTATAGGGTTTGTAGGGTTTATAGGGTTGATAGGGTTTATAGGGTTTATAGGGTTTATAGGGTTTATAGGGTTCATAGGGTTTATAGGGTCAATAGGGTTTCTAGGGGTTATAGGGTTTATAGGGTTTATAGGGTTTAAAGGGTTTATAGGGATTATAGGGTTGATAGGGTTTATAGGGTTTATAGGGTTTATAGGGTTTAGGGCAGAACATGTTATCAACGAGCAGCTAAAAGGGGTATCGAGCCTGCGCAGCCAAATCGAAGGAAGCACCTCCGGATTCTCGGGCTTGTGCTTCGCAGCCCCTGCGCACCTGGCAACCGCCACACGTACCTTGGCTGACTTCTGAACCCCTCCTAGAATATAACTTATATTGCAGTTTCTACAAAGACCCAAAAGGTTAAAGTCCTGAAAGCCCGCCAGAAAAAAGCCGAGGTACGGACTCCCAATCAGTTGGTCGGATGAGCCTTCTCATGCAGGGCATTCCGTCCTGATCTCCAGACCTGTGGTACTTGAGGTGCAGCTGCTTAATGTTCTGCCCGGGCAAAGAAGGATCGATGGCAAGGACGATCTCAGACAGTTGAGGCAAGCTGCCAAGCAATGCCATCCCCGCAGCCTCACCCAACATGGAAGAAGCTCGGCTGGTCTGTGACACGGATGGGGCGGCTGCATTCGCAAGCAGTTGTGCTGGCAGGCTTTGCGGTGTGGCATCTGGGAGAGACTGCGCATTCACATCGGCGTCCTCTCTCAGTGCCAGCAAATGGTATACCTCATCCGACCCGTGCAGATACGGAAGTGCCACGTGAAACACGTCGACACCGACCCTCGCGCCGGAAGCGCTCGGCAAGGACACCCGCAAGCATGTCGGCGTCTCCGTCGACGCCTCCACCGACCTCCCCATGAAGTCCCTGAAGCTCTGAACCTCTTGTGAGCACTCGAGCAGGTCCGGAAAGCATGTGCCCTTCGTATCATGCGCTGACAGCCGGTTCAAACACGTGCTATCTTGAACGACTAAGCTGCCATTCAGTAGAACATCACCATCGCAAATTCCTCGTAGCATTCGCCGGAAGCCGCATGTGATGGATTCGGCATCCGCAGAACGGAATTGCGCCGCCAACCTCTGTCTCAGAAAATACTCCATCACGACGCTCAGCGTGCTGGCCATGGCAGCCATGAACGCCTGGCTGACAACGCAGGGTACTGCAAACTCATCCAAACCCTGTGCGGACATGTAGAACGCGACCTCCGCCAGGGACAAGGCGAACTGCGCCTGTGTATGCAATGCGCTGTCAGCGCACATGACGACCAACACACAGCGATATGACATACCAAGCTGATCCTTTAGCGCCAGCTGACCGGCGGAAGCGAAGCGAGCCCTTGTGGGAAAGAAGGGGAGAAAGAGGAGGTAGTTGACGATCAAGAACTTCTTTACCCTAGCTGCTGTCATCCTGATGTAGCCCTTGGCCGTCAGCAAATAAAAGAGGTACAGTCCGAAGCAAAGAAAGGCTTCACCAGGAGCTCCCATGAACATGAACAGGATCCTTGGGGGCGGTTGGGTTTAGGGCTTAGGGCTTAGGGCTTAGGGCTTAGGGCTTAGGGCTTAGGGTTCAGGGCTTAGGGTTTAGGGTTTAGGGTTTAGGGCTTAGGGCTTAGGGTTTAGGGATTAGGGATTCGGGTCTAGGGATAGGGCCTGTTGGGGGTTTGGGGCTAAGGGCGGGTTCGGCTTTAGGGCCTTCGGGGTGTAGGGGTTTGGGGTTTGGGGTATGGGGGTTTGGAACTCAGGGTTTGGGGTTTAGAGCCCAGGGCTTGGAAACTTCTGAACCCTAAATTCCCAAAACCCTGAAAAACTCAACTCTAGAAAGCCTGAAGCCCTGAAACCTAAACCCCTAAACCCTAAACACGCCCCAGGGTCACGCTCAGCGGGAACCCATGCTGAAGCAAGCGACTGGCCAGGGCAAAGTTCTCTTCTGCCAGGGCTTGCATGGCCTGTCAGGGTTTAGGGTTTAGGGTTTAGGGTTCAGAAGTTTAGGGTTTAGGGCTTTGTGACGCCAGTTTGGGGTTCAGAGCTCTACACGCTTCCATCCTCACCTCTTCAATGCGGCTGTTGAGCGGATCCTCTTTGTTGCTGCTCTTCGGCCCAGTGCTTTGAAAGAAGTTGGCCCAGAACCAGCACAGCATGGACCTTCGGTGGCTCAGGGTTTTAGGTACAAATTGAAGCCTCGGTTTAGTGTTTAGGGTTTAGGGTTTAGGGTTTAGGGTTTAGGGTTTATAGGGTTTGAAGTCTGGGGTCTATATAAGTACAGTTGAGGTTTAGGGTTCAGGGCATAAAGAGTGGTGGGTTGAGCACCGTGCTAAAGCGAAAGCCCACGAGAACACCCAGACCGTACTCTATGTTAGGGTATAGGGTTTTATGTAGGGTTGAGGGTTTAGGGTTTAGGGTTTAGGGTTTAGGGTTTGGGCTTTAGGGCCTTTGCCGTGTTTGGGGTCTTGCTGGTTTCAGACTTTCGTGTCATTGAGATCCTAACGAATGTTCACCCGTTCAATGACCGGCAGTAGAGGCTTCAAAGAAAATCAACAGGGTTTGGGGGCCATTAAAGATGAATTTTCTAGGGACCATAAGGGAACACTACTAGTAATTATTCCAACCCCTGTGTTGGTTTCACGTTCGGAATTTTCCGGATTCGTTTTGTCTTTGCGGGCTTTGCCCAGGCAAAACGGGACTGCAATTTGCATCATTGCCTAATTATGCAACTTCTCTGGCTCTAAGACCTAAGGGTTTAGGGTTTAGGGTTTAGGGTTTAGGGTTTAGGGGTTAGGGTTTAGGGTTTAGGGTTTCCTGAAATCCATGGCGTGTCCCACCTGGCGTCCGCGGCAGAAGAGGTGAAGTGTGCTGTGAGAAGCACGAGCGTGAGAGCCAGCTGGCAGGACATGACATCGTCCATTGCCAGCATGACAGAGCCGAGCCGGAGTAGCCCTAAAGCTGAGAGGGTTGTTAGGGTTTAGGGTTTAGGGTTGAGGTGTTAGGGTTTAGGGTTTAGGATATCGGGTCTAGGGTTTAGGGTTTGGATGTCAAAATCCCTTGTCCTTTGTTCGAGAGCCAAATGCGGATTGGTCAAGCGATGCAAGATGACTTGGAATTGCACAGCTCCGCTCTTAAAGAGGCACACGGCACCAAAAGACAAGCCCAAACTAGTCCAGCATAGAGCAACCCACGTAGACACGTGCTGCCCTGTGTGAGGTAAGATCCTAATTCCATCCTAAGCGCCAAATACCGCATTTCATGAAGGAAAGAAGAAAATAGTAAACATAACTGTGCATGCAAGCTCTGAACCGCTTTTATGTCGAACAACTAGTTAAAATCTAACAGGATGTGCTGGCTGAGACTTTGCAGTGCTTGTGAGAAGAAAACTACAAGTAGGGCCCCCTACTTATAAGTAGAGTTCTTAGAATTGGGTGTCTGAGGATGGAAGGTGTTCGCGTTTAGGGTAAAGGTGGTAAAGCTGGGTTAGAGTTCGTATAACAGAGACGCGAGGTTCAATACCATGCGCCAGAATGAGCTGAAGGACTGAGCAGGAACGTCGAGGAACAAACACGCGAAGTGCCCACCCTACAACCTGAACCTTGAAGCTTGTGCGCAATCCCGCATCTCTGAAGAAATTGCTCAAGCCCTGAGCCCCTAGACCCTTGAATCCCTAAAGCGCAGAAATCCCTAACGCCTTGCAACCAGCCACCTTACGGTTGGCTGGCAAGTCTTGTCCGATTGCGACTCCCTTCCTAAGCCCTCAACGAAAGCGAGCTGCGGGCGCTGCGGTGAGCAGCAGCGCGCGTGCAGGGGGCGACAGCCCCTGCCAGCTCCGGAGCCGTCTCGCGACAGGGGGCAGCGGAGCTCCGTTAACTGCACCCATAGAAGGTGCCGGCGCCCGGCTCCGCGCATGCTGACACGGCCCGACACGGCAAAGAGTTGTGACCCTGAGTTCTTGGGTCGGACGGTCGCAGCCTTTAGGATGTAGGAATCTTAAGGTTCAAGGCTGAGGGGCCTCTCCAGGGCCTTTAGGAGTTAGGATTTAGGCGTAGGATTGAGGACTTGGGACTTAGGATTTAGGATTTCGGATTCAGGGTTTAGGAGGTAGGATCTAGGACTTCGGATGTGGAGTTAGCCATCGCAAAGGGTCCGAGCAAATGACATGCTTTTATGATGCTTCAGACAGACCGAAATGGGAGGGCCCCAGCATTCCGAGATCAGGACAAAAAGGACGTCCACAAGTTTTTGTCGAGAGCTAAAGGTATGAAAGCCCTAGACCCGACCCAGGCAATAGCTTGGGTGGGTGGGTTGGAAGGGAACGCGAACTTTGGCGAACACCACAACACACGTCCCAGCATGTAGCACACCCTATAAGCCCTAAAGCCCTGAACCCTGAAGCCTACACCATAAACCCTAAACCCTAAACCCTAAACCCTAAACCCTAAACCCCTGAGCGCGGAACCCTAAGCCCCTAAACCCCTGAACCCGGAACCCGGAACCCTAAGCCAGAAACCTTCAGCGTTTTTCATCCCGAGACCCGAACGAAGCCAGCAATGCTTGGAGGAAGGTTCAGGGGCCTCAGTCGTTGGAGGAGCGATTTAGGGTTTAGGGTTTAAGGCGGGTTTCCGAAGTTAGGGGATTGGGGGTTATGTAGGGGTTATATGATGGGCCTTGCTGTGGGTCCATATGAAAACGGGATCCTACTTGTTGGGGGTCTATATTAGGGGTCCTTCTCGTAAACCCCCATTCGGTGTTTAGGGGTTGAGGGGGTTCAGGGGGGTTTAGGGAGGTTTGGAAGGGTTTAGGTGGGTTGAGGGGGTTTAGCGGCCTTAGCGGGGAGGTTAGGGCTCAGGGTTCGGGATTGCTAGACTTTACCTACTTGGGACAGCCCTGCAAGTTAGGGCGCGTAGCCATGCCATCCTTCACTAGGTATGCCCTTCAACCATCCCTAAGACAACTACCCAGGCTAAACCCTAAACCCGAACCCTGAACTTTCAACCCTAAACCCGAAATCCCGAAGCCCCAAACCCTGAACCCTACCCGCTAGGTTGGCCCTTTACACACTTTGCAGCTGCTCCTAGACACGACCTTCCCAAAACCCTACACCCTACACCCTACACCCTACACCCTACACCCTAAACCCTAAACCCTAAACCCTAAGCCTAAACCCTAAACCCTAAACCCTAAACCCTAAACCCTAAACCCTAAACCCTAAACCCTAAACCCTAAACCCTAAACCCTAAACCCTAAACCCTAAACCCAACCAGGCAAAAGATAGCATACCAACGAAGGACAGGGGCCTCTAGAAACGGACTCGGGATCCGCTGATCCCAGAACCGTGCACTCTTAACCCATGTAGGGTTTAGGGCTTAGGGTTTAGGGTTTAGGGTTTGGGGGTTTGGTGTTTGGGGTTTGGGGTTTGGGGTTTAGGGTTTAGGAACCCTATACCCTAACCCCTGAACCCTAGCCCCTAAACCCTAAACCCTAAACCCTATTGCCCTAAACCCTAAACCCTAAACCCAAAACCCTATTGCCCTAAACCCTAAACCCAAACCCTAAACCCTAAAACCTAAACCCCCTAAACCCTAAACTCTAAACCCTAAACCCATACTAAGGGACCATGTAACTACCCTAAAGATCAGGGCTTCCACCCCTGGGCATCCAAGACCTTAGTCAAGAAGACTCATGCCGGTTCAGGGTTCAGGGTTCAGGGTTTGCGCAGGCCTCAGTGGCAAAGACGGCGGATTCATGGAGAGAATCCTGCTCGTGCTTTTGGGGCTTGGGGCTTGGGGCTTAGGGCTTAGGGTTTAGGGGTTTAGGGGTTTAGGGTTTAGGGTTTAGGGTGTAGGGTTTAGGGTTCAGGGTTCAGGGTTTAGGGTTTAGGGTTTAGGGTTTAGCCTAGTCTTTCTTCATGAGGCTTAGGGTTCAGGGCTTTGGGTTTTGGGTTTCGGGTTTAGGGGAAGGGTTTCCTTGAACGACTATGCAACAGCCAGTTCAGTTTAGAGCTCTGGGTCTTGGGGTTTGGGGTCAACCCATACACCCTGAACGTTGATGAACACCCAACCCCCAGCAAGGCCTTGGGCGGTCGGGGCGTAGAGCTTAGGAGTTCTGGGCCCTTAAGCCCACAACCCTAAACCCTAAACCCTAAACCCTAAACCCTAAACCCTAAACCCCTAAACCCTAAACCCTAAACCCCTAAGCATTTCAGCATGGTCCTTTCAGGGTGTGGGCCCCTAGGCCCCTAGGCAAACCGTGGCGCAGCACGTCCCCCGCGTCTTTCGACAATAGCTGGACTTCACTCATGTACGCTGGCATCTGCCCCCTCTCCACCCTTTGGATCCCTAAACCCTAAACCCTAAACCCTAAACCCTAAACCCTAAACCCTAAACCCTAAACCCTAAACCCTAAACCCTAAACCCTAAACCTGAATCCCACGACCCTGCCCGCACTTGGCACAACATTGCCGCTGTCGATTCGGGGTGCGACCAGTTCGTGAGCGTGGGGCTTTAGCACTTTGGGGTTCTCGGGCCTTGCGGCTTTAAGCTTCGGAGTCTGCGTTGCAGGAGTATGGGGTTTAACGTTTAGGGTTTCGGGTTTACGGTGGTCTCAGGGCTGCGAGCCTGTTGCGGCAAGGGCCATCTGCGGATCGGAAACGCAAGACTCCCGAATCATAAGATGCAAAGTCTTAGCCAAAACCTGCCTCGAAAGTGCAAGTAAGTCCAAAAACCCCGACACCCTAGAGCCCTCCAGAATGTGCCCTCCGTTACGGCCCTTGCACCCCAAAATTTAAACCCTATACACCCACAACACATGAACAAGTCAGGCCTGAAACCTCTACCAGAACTCCCTGCCCACAAAGGCTGATAAGGGAACCTTGAACACAAGAAAAGGGGGCAGGCAAAAGGGTACCCCGAGTCTACGACTCCAAAATGCCGAAACGAAATCCCGACACACTTCGCCCTGTAACCACAGGGCTGAGACCTGTCACCCTGTCGCTCTGGTCCAGGGTTTAGGTTGTAGGGTTTAACCCTCAACCCTAAACCGAGACCCTAAACCCTAAATCCTAAACCCTAAATTCTAAACCCTAAACCCTACACCCTAACCCTAAATCCGCAAAACCCACCCCTACTCCGACTCGAATCCACGTCCTGTGAATCGAATGTGTCGTACACCGGCTCATGGGCCAGCCCATCCGATCACCTTCCACCACCTGAAGGATTTAGGGTTTAGGGTTTAGGGTTTAGGGTTTAGGGTTTTGGGTTTTGGGTTTTGGGTTTAGGGTTTAGGGTTTAGAATCCCTACTAAGGACTGTCAGTAGAAGGGGGAGCATCCCAAGCCCTAAACCTTAAGCCCAAAGCCTAAACCCTAAACCCTAAACCCTACACCCAAAAAAACCCAACAAAAATGTCGAACGAAGAAGCCGATGCCCTGCAGCCTGCCCCCTGTACTCCCTGTTTTGGTCTGGGGTTTAGGGTTGAGGGTTTAGGTTCCAGGGTTGAGGGTTGAGGGTTGAGGGTTGAGGGTTGAGGGTTGAGTGTTCAGGGTTTAGCGTTTAGAGCCGATGGTCCAGGGTTTCTTGGGAGGGGTAGCGGGTTCAATCCTGTAAATGTGCTGCTCACTACCCTAACCTTAAACCCTAAACCCTCAACCCTAAGATCTAAAAGCCCTGACGCAACACCCCAAAAGCCAAAACGCTCGTCTCAACTGCGCTTCCACCCCCTTTGTCTAAGGTTTCAAAACTGGGCCCTTCATCTGGGCCCCTTGTTTTATCATCCTTTTATACACCATACATAATGCAGGCCCATGCTTCGGATCCCTCTAAACATGGGCAAGGAACCATACTAACTAAGGCTAATAAAGGGCCCATGGTGGGAACCTTCGACTTTGAGGGTTTACGGCTTAGGGGGTGAAGGGGTTAAG